CTCAGAAGTATACTCGGGGTGAAAGGTTTCCGGCGTGTTAGAAGATGTGATGACCTCGCATTTATTGGTCTGATGAGCCCTCGAGGGGTGCAAGCGAGCGGGCATAGCTTTGGCTACAGTTCCAAAAAACGTTGCGCGCATGTATTGGGGACGCAAGCAGGACAAAATTGTCGCTATAGCCCGCATTTGCCTTTGACCACATGATTTTGGCTGATTTAGCTTTCATCTTAGTAAATAAGAGCAATATTAAACTGTCAACGTTGAAGACGTTGGTTTAATGATCCGATGATTCCCAGCTTCTATCGTGCGTATTACATATAGTATCGACCATAAAATTCGCAACTGATGACGACTATCCAGGAGTCCAACTGCCGACGTCACGGCGAGATAAATACCGGTCGTTACGTCATGAGCAATAACCATACGAGGGTGCCACCGAGCCATCTCAGCTCGAACAGCTCCCCTTTTTAGCAGTCAAGAACAAATATTTTGTTTCAGAGTAATGCACGAGTAGGCGCATTCAATGGGCATTCCAGGGAATCAAACAAGTTGTTTTTGGAACATGATGAATGGGAGCTAGTTTTAAGCATGCGCGGCAAACAACGTCGAACAACTTGCAGTTTCGTGATTTTCCCTCGATAGAATGTCCGTCGCTTTACGTCCGCTATGCAGGATCGCTTCTTCGGTGTACTTTGTACCGATCTTCGATCTGCGCTACACCGAAGTAGTCTTCTCTCCGCCGTGACCATTAGCGCCGAGATGCTTCTGTGCCGATCTCTTAAGAGTTCGTTCGTGACGTAGCGACCAAAACTTTCCTAACCGCGACGAGGTGCGTCAAAATTAGTTTCACTACTTATCATCAGTTGCAAACTACAAGTTTGATGGAACGTGTGAAAATGACGATAAAAGTTCGGTGTCATCGCACTTTTCAACAAACATTGCCACAGTTGGCTTCCCGACAAAGCTCTGATTACGGTCGATGAAAACAATATATAAATCTAGAAAAATAAATTGCACCGAACGTTTTGCCAAACACGCATTGCGACCACGGCAATGCTTTTGGTCGCGCACGATACGTAATCCCAGCCTACGATTCGTTGGAAGAAAAATAATCAAGCATCCAAAAAACGTTCAACGTCTGCGCTCATCGCATTTGTGTGCTGGATTTTACTAAATGAACCAATAACGCTTTGTAAATGCTCTGGGATCCGGCGCTTTTTTTTTTTTTTTTGGTGATTGGTCTAGACGGAGAAGAGCGAATCCACAAAGACAACGAGTGCCTTGACGATGCATTTTCGGGGCTCCTTCATCGGCTCGATCAGATTGAAGTGTCTGCTGCAATCGGACTTGATATACCCCAACGTACCTCGTCTCAGTTTAAGCGCAGACGTAGCCGACGCTACAAGATAATCTAACCAATCGGACAGCGTAAAAAGCGCTCCATCATGGTTTTCGACATGTTTCCGTGCGTGTTCTGTCATTGCTGAACCAATCGTACGCGGAAAGGACCAAGTAAATCGCGCTGTTGACGCTGCTTGATTGCTACCCTTAACTCCTAGCGTCGGCTGCGCCTCACCCTAAGCAGAAACGAAGTATGGGTGGTTTTCGCAGGTGGCCATTGCTGTGTGCGCAATCGCCGTGCGTGTGCCGATGGCGAGCTTCCACATGTATTTTGCAACGTGCGTTCCACATCATCGAGATTGCCGGTCTTAGCAGCCTATCGATGTCAGATGGTTCCGAACATGCACTCGAAACGGCGCCCTCAAATGTGGCGCCCTGTGGGTACCCCTGTAGAATGTACCAACATGGGAGCCAATTCCAAACGTGTATAAAAATTTGACCAACAAGAAATCGCAAGTAATGAGTGACAGTGAGCGTGCTTTTGGCAGCCTAGGCTTGCGCCGCACGTCTTACCTGACTGAATTACTGTTGGATAAGGGTGCACACAACCCCTTGACTATACTTCGTTTCAGCTTCGGTCCGAGCACGGCTGATGTTATGAGCCGAAGGGCCAATCAAACAGCGAAACTGGTACAACATCACGCCGTGCTCTCTGCAGTTGATAGGACCGGCCGATATTCGCCGTGTCTCTGTGCGTGCTCCTCCACCGGCTAGACCTATCAGGCATAGAAAGCACAACATGACGCTGCACTTTTTGCGTTGTTTGATTGGCCCTTCGGCTCATAACATCGGCCGCGCTCGGACCGAAGCTGAAACGAACTATAGTATCTATAAGCCTGCGTCATTTCTCGAGTTTTTGTACGGAATGAGGCACGCATCCGTGAACACAAAAGGTTTGTATAAAAGGTGCGAAAGGTTGCTATTAGGACCATTGCCTATATGCTTTGCACACAGGACTCACCCTCGGATCTCAGCCGCACCTTCGGCAGTATATCATTAGAAATGGAGCTATACCTTTAAGAATAAAGAGTCATATACTCAATGCGATGACACACACGCGTAAGCTGGAAGACCCAATTTTTAACGACGGAACTCTGACCAAACTATGGTAAATGATTGATGTAATATCCTAGATGGATGTTATTCTTGACCTAAATTTTTTTTATAGAAACATTTTGCCGAAACTCCGCCTGATGAGGGGAGTAATAAAAAAGGGGTACTTAGAAAAATGTAACTAATTTCTTTATTGTGTCAGTCGCTTAATAGTCAGATCGGTCTCTTCTTCGCGTGCGACTGTATGTTGGCCCAGATGTCGCTATAAGAGACGGCTCTTATTAAAAAATTTGCATAGACATAATACGGATAACAACCTGAACCGATCCACGGGAACGCTACTAAGCAGCTATATACATGTTCTGCGATGCGTCCCAATTTAATACCAAAGACAATAGTAAACGATGCTGACTGAAAGAAGAATATCAAAACGATATATAGTGACATTTGGGCCCACAAACAGTCAGCCGTGAGCAAGTAGCCAAGCCGGCTTCGAAACGTCGGGGCGATGAAGATATACGTTAAAGTTTTCTAAATACCCAATTAAAAAAATAAAAAAAGTGATTTTTGCTGTACAGAGATGAAGCAATCTGCCCGAATAAAACTCTAGCTCTCTGTCACATTAAATTGTTGAAGAGTTGTTACTACTCCAATACTATATTTTTATTTCCTGGGGCTTTTCATGCTAATTCTGAGTAAACTTTACGTCTTTCTGTTTATTGCGGCAAGTATGTGTTGCTTCGCCGTTAAAATTTTGAAATGAGCAAGAGTGACATTGTGACATAAAATTACAGAAATAAACGCTGTAAGACTTTGGTAAATATCAGTGACTGAGGGTTTCTTTATTGTCCGATATCATTAGAAAAGCAAAAAAAAAAAAAAGAATTTGATGGAGCCTAGCGTTTTTGTGAATTATGCAATCACCGCGAGGATGTAGACAATGCGTAATCGCCGCGAGGATGCAGACACTGAAAACCGTTTAACATGCGCAAGTAATTTGCTTCAGTTCGAATTTGTTTTCCTAACTTTTGATATGTGTGGTCGTATAGGAAATTGCTAATCCGGGGTAGGCACCGATTTGTAGCATCCTGTTAACTCTGACAACGCATTCATATTCACATTCCGAAGCAATAAGTTGTGGTGCTGATGTCCTCTCCCACCAGTGGACCTTTTCTGTTGTCCTGAAATTTACACGCAAATTGGCTTTCTGAAAAAAATTGCATCCCGTACCTAACGTTTAAGGGTTGGACTTCACCGTGTAGCTCACTGTTTCTGTATCATCGGACAGAAAACGTAAGGAAAGGAGACACAAGATCGGTATGTATCCAGAGCAAATTACTGACTTCGAAATGTAGCCTTTTCTGCTAGATTGGTCCGCGTTTTGCTACGCCTACAACTTCATTAATTTAGGCTTGATAAATTAAATATTCTAACACTAAAGATTATTTGAAGATCATTATATTCTGTGTTAACTGGGTGATTGGATGTGCCACAGAACACCTTCCTGAATATTTTTATTCACACTACTTTATGATCAATGATGTGGAACAACTACTCTTTAGATATATGGAGCGTTCACTTTACCACAAAGCAATTGGGCGAGCCAGTCCCTGCAACCTGCTGATGGAGTTCTGTGAGTGACGAAGCGCAAAATACGTTGAGACCTTAAAAAAGTTGGTAGTGTTGAAATATGCTCGACGCAAGCAATTACAACGTCAAGCGCAGTGTCACAGCGCAGATTTGTTTCTCATTAAACATATTTTGAACTTCGTCGTTCGCAAAGTTCCTTTCGTAGGTGGCAAGGATTGGCTCTCAGATGTGCTTCGCGTGAAAGCAGACGCTCCAGACGTTTTAGAGTGTAGGATCACCATTGAAGTCAATAGTCGAACGCTTTCTGACCATCTCAAACATAAAGATAAATAGAGAGAGAGAGACAGAGAGAAAGAAAGGAAGAGAAATAAATAAGTTAGATATGGCAGTGTAGAAGCCGCTGGCTGAAATACAGCTTCGATATGTTTAATCCTTGCGGTACGTGTTTCCGATCTTCCCAGTGAAGCACGCCGTACAATAGACAAGATGCATTAATGGTGTTCACTTGATCAATAAAGAGTGTAACAAGTTTTATTAGCAGTTGATATGAGATGTCTGACATACTTTTACGGCGTAATGGAATCATTGCTCTAAGACAATGAAATTGAGCCCTTGAAATGAAATCGACGACTGCATTCTAAAAAGTACGCTTCTTGTGAAAGTTGGTAAGGAGATGTATATGCTCCTCCTCAGCCATAAAAGTATTCGAAATGTAGCATTCATAATTGATCAAGCGTACGTGATATTCATTGCTTGCACTCAAAGCTACGGATCGCATATATTCGGTGTTGACTTGCAATGGTATGATGTAGTGAACGGCCGATTATCGGAAGAGTAAATAACAAGGGAATTTTAAAAGACAACACGATCAATATGTCATATGCTCCTAAACCGCTATATTTATACGTCATTATTTTAAATTTGATTCATTCAACTTTATATCGATATTTTTACAGAACAAAGTCCATACATCGACACGTTTCTGCTTCAAAACCGAAATGTCCGATCCGTCCAACGGTCCTCCAATCGAAACGCTGATCCCTTCATCCATCCCGGAGCTCTACGCCCGCAGCAACGCGTTTCAGCGGAACACGAACATCACGTGCCTGGACTTTTTGCAGCAGACCTTCAGTCCCACGTCCGACGTAAACCAACAGTTCTTGGATGTGGGATGCGGAACGGGCGACTTCACCAGGCAGGAACTTCTGCCCCGCTGCCAGCCCTGTCGTCGCATCGTCGCCACGGAAGTGGTCCATGAGACTGCAGAGTACGCCAAGAAACACTCGGCCCATCCGCAGATCGTGTACGAGGAGCACGACATCCGAGGCGATGTGTCGGGGCTAGAGGCCAAGTACGGCAAGTTCGATAGGGTCTACTCGCTCTTCGCCCTGCACTGGGTAGAGGACCAGGCTGCGACGCTTAGGAATATCGTGAGCCTCATGAAGGACGATGGCGACTGCGTGCTCGTGTTTGCGGCACGCACGACCCTTTGCAAGATCTGGAAGAGGATCGTACAGCTGGATCGCTGGAGGGCGTACGACGAGGTTGGTTTGGAGCTATTGTTTAGTGTTTTCCAGCAATAGCTGGTAACGCTGGTTCGCACAGCACCGCTTTGTTACGCTACGTTTAAGTCACCGAACCATTCGTGTATTGAATGCAGCGTACCATGCTATCTACTTGAGCTGGAAGCCACGTTTGACGTGAAGTACAGGTGCCCTGGTGACTTTTGGCATAAGCAGACGTAAGCTTGGGTAACCTAACCGAACGTAAGAAAACGGGGTTTTGAACCAGCCTTATCGTCTCTCCCCCCCTCCCCCCTCCCCCGCTCTAGACGATTTAGGGCGTGACGCCCTTACATCACGGTCATGTGACGTCAAGATATCACATGGTGTTACGTTGCACGAAGAGTTCATATAACAAGATTTGTTATGATGTCACGTGACCTCCTAAAGTCACATAGCATCAATATGGTACGTTACGTCACGTGTCAAAGTTACGTCAGGACGATAATGGACGTCACAGCGCCACGTGACACCAGGGTGTAACGCGACGTCTTGCTCTCAAGTGACGTCATCATACAACATGATGTCACAACGCCATGTGAAGTCACTTGACTATGCTAGTAGGCACGTGACTTCACATATCTGGGTAGTTTGTGGTTATAGGCGTGTGTCAGTCACAGAGCAGACTTTGGCAATGGTTCCACCACGGGGTTAGACTGCGAATGCATCATACAAAAGGAAGTCATATTGGCCACAAAACGACTTTCTGCCCACATCTTTGAGACATGCAAATGTTTAAAGCAAACATTTTTTTTAACCTGCTTGAGGCGCGTTAGCAGATACTTCTGTCATTATGTCTGCAATCGAACACCTTGTCTTTTGCATGGTGTATGTGAAGTGTGACGACAAATCATGTGGCCGCTACGGCAATTTGATGCTTTAGATTCATGTTACCAACAAAGAAAAAAGCCGGCGTGGGATGGCCAAAGAAACATGCTTTCCGTGTACGGCTCGTCAAATTATGAGACGCTGGAAAAAACCAGCCTTCTGCGTTAAGTCCTTATTACGAACTTTTTGTTTCCATTCCGCCCATTCAAAAACATGCGGGAAGCGTTTCAGCACGCAACCGTATCGCTGCGCCGCGATTTTTTTTTCCGCAGCATAAAGGCCGCCTGCTTTCATCGCTGTTGCCATGGTAACGAACGCCGAATGACCTTATCGGGTGGCACATGTATCACTGGGAAGTGTGTTAACTCCGCTCCCCCCGCCTGCGTTCACGCTGCTCCACGGCAACAGTCTGCGGCTGCTCACTACAAAACAACTAAACTTTGGCTAGCAGACGGCGTTAGACAGATCGGCGTTCGTTGCCACGCTGACAATTATGAAAGCAGACGACCTTTATTCTGTGGAATAATACTGCGGCTCAGCGATACGAGGTGCGTGCTGAGGCGCTTCCTGCATGCTTCTCAATGGGCGGAACGCGAACAGAAGAGTTGGACAAAACGACTTAACGGAGAAGGCTGGTTTTCTCCAGCGCGTCATAGTTCGACGAGCCTTATACGAAAAGCATGCGTTAGAGCGCAACTCTTAGGGGCCCGTTTCCAGCCTGAGCGGCGTCGGCGTCGGTGCAAGGGGGGGGGGGGGGGCGGGGGGGGTCACGTGAAGCCCGAGGTCACGTGACCCCCCCCCCCCCCCCCCGAGGTCACGTGACCCCCCGAGATCACGTGATCCCCAAGGTCACGTGACCCCCCCCCCCCCGAGGTCACGTGACCCCCCGGGGTCACGTGACTACCCGCAGGTTACGTGACCCCCCCCCCAGTACCCTTCCCTACTCCTTCTCAAGAGCTGCGCTCCAATTCGGCGTTACAGGGATTTTGAAACGGCTTTCATTTTTTTAGGCCGAAGTTTGAAAATGTTTCTTTTTTTTTTAACGACAACATGAGTCTAAAGTATTAACTTGCAGCCGCTTGTTCTGGCTGCGAGTTGAGCGTATACGAACTTTGCGCCTTCATTTTTTGATGTCTCTTTCTACGTTTGCCATCGCAGAAGGAATAAAAATAACTCATGTTTCGTGGGCTATGAAGGCCAATAATTAGTTCTTAGCGATATTTGCCGAAAGTACAAATACTGTGTCACCGCCCCTCTAATCGGTGAAAAACGTATTTCCAACCAAATGCCGACGCAGCGCTTGTAGGACGCTGCTCCGTCAGAGGAGGACGAAGCCATCAGCTGCACGAGCCAGCTACGTTGCGCATTTTCCGTTAAAGATAACCTGTTCGTTGACAAGATGGATGGGCAGTATTTCAAATACTTTGTGTATTTTGCATTTGTATTTAATTACAAATTGGCTAATGTATTTGACTTGTGTATTTAAATACTAAAACGTGGGTTTTTCAAATACAATTGTAGTTAAATACAATTTTGTGGGCGAAAATACATCCCTCAAATTTATTGTCACTGTCCAGAGCAGGAAGAAAACTACGTTCTGCACCGAATGCAGTGTCTCTCAATCAAGCACACGCGTGTAGTGACTTCGTGATTACGGTGCTTGACCAGGGCAAGAATAGTGACGAAATCGACGTTCACAGGCAGACTGGCTAAACAAGTGCCTGTGACAACTTGTGATGCTTTCCAGCCTGATTTCCATCCACATTTTTTTGCTGGAACATTATAAATGCGCGCGTCGTGCAGATTTTCGCAACTGGTGCGAGTTGCAACAATAAAAGATTCTGTAGCTAGTGCTGCACGTCTTGATCGTCTTGGTTTTTGTTGGTCTATACCAAAATGTAATCGACAACAAAAGCTGCTTGAAGCTCTGTACTTATTTTACCTATTACGTACAAGCTGAATACATTTTTTGTGATTATATTTCTATTACGTTACTAGAGCCTCGCACACTAGCTACCGAGTGTGCGATGCAAAATTAAAATGAGATACCCATAAACCCGTAGTAGGTGCCCTGAAGTCGCTGACGCAAATTTTGAGGAATGTATTTGGAAAGTGTTTGGAAGAGACCAAATACATTTGGTTGTATTTGTATCTAGTACTTAAATGCTTTTTTGGGAATGTAATTAGATTTGTAATTAAATACAATTTTGACGAAGTATTTTGTATTTGTATTTCGATACATATTTGCATGTATTTTGCCCATCCCTGGTTGACAACTATACAACGACTTTATTGCAGTTATCCAGACGCTTTATTGCCAAGAGTCAGAGTATGGAGGACCGCTCCACTCTCGTGTCCTACATGCTGGATACCCTAAAGAGCGCCAACTTGAAGCCACTCACTTGCGAGGTGATGACCGCAGTTCAGAGCGTTGAGGATTCGGACCTCGTGATGGGTGAGTTGGCGATGATTCTCGTACCTGCAAAACCCATCTGCTAAACGCTACCGAATTTCATACGGCGACCAAGTGTTCTCAAAATGCCTCCCTGGAGCATTGGAACGTAAAGGGTGGCACGCCAATCAAGATGAAAACATAGAAAACACGTATGTGCTGCGCAGTAACGAGACAGCAAACCTCGTGCTGTCATTGGCTGAGGTCAGGGGTAAAGAAACACACGTGGGCGAGTTAGGCGGGATAAAGAAACGCACAACACAGGGTGCGCGAGGATCGGTTACAACTTGCACAATTTTACCTTCTAAGCGCAGCCAAAGTTACAATCCGACTGAGCCAATCGAGCGGTCCCCGAAAGTGCGTCATCACGTCGCTCGTCACCTCTACGCGTTCGCTAGCACAAACGAAACCAATTGCGCGAATCGAATGAGCCGCAACCCTGGGTATTTTTTGTTGCCTGATTCGGTTAGCCGATCATAGCAAAACCACCTAGTCAACGAACGCCTCGACGATGCAAGTTTGGCGCTGATTGATTTCGTCTGTCGGATCCGAGTGTCCGCTGTCAGCGGAGTTGAAGTGAAACGGAGTACCCCTGAAATCCGCAACCCGGCTTGAGCGGCGTCGCCGTCGCCGTTGCCGTAACCACACGTGGCTTTATGGGAGGTTTCCCATAATTATGTCACACGTAACGTCACGTGTTTCCCCTAATGACAATCACTGGGGTTTGGTGTAAATGAGAAGTTAAATATCCCCGCTAAATATAGAGGAAAAATGTTAATAAATTTGCCGTTAAATTTAGCGGGGAAATTGACGATTAATTTAGCCTGAAATTTAACGAAACTTTCCTGCTAAAAGGGACGGAAGAAGGAGAGGAGGAGGGGAGGGTACGGAGAAAGAGGAGTGGCATACCCTCTCCTCCTCCTCAAGAGCTGCGCTCTAATTCGGCAGTACAAAAAATTTCAAACGTTTTTTTTTTTTTTTTTTTTTTTTCCTGTTTACTGTTGATTAAGAATTGGTGGTTTAAGACTCAGAACTTAAACGTATCGCAAATGATAATATTTATCTACCGAACAACCGCTTTGCAAACGATAAACGCCTGCCGAGCACCAAATAAATTTAAAGAAATAAAGTGAAAACGGCCTAACCACTGTCTCTCTCTTTATATATTAGGCCATTCCTCACGATGCAGCGCCTCGTGTCGCGATTTTCCAGTTTCGGTCATCTATCACCTGCACTAAATGTTTTGTGTCGGCTGCACATAACAATGATTGTCGGTGCAGGTTTGTAACGCTAATCAAGAATTCGATCGAGAGGTTTTTTAATAAATATATATATATGTCGAACAACGCGGCCTCTGAACGTTAGATAAAGTCGCAACTGAAGCGTCTTCATATACAAAAATTTCATTTAACTATTTCACACGCAACGTCATCACAACTTATAAAATTAGGTGGACAGACAACTACGCTGCAGAATGTACGCGCTTGCGGAAAATCTACCACAATAATCACTACACGGTGCAAGCCTTGTGTAGTGACCCAATTCGGTCATGTTTCCGCATGGCATTAGTTAAAAAAATTCTATGCAAACAGTATATCACCTCATGTTTTGACATGCGTGATGATCCTACCATATGTTTTGCTCAAGCCAGTTTAGACTTAAAATCTGTGATATATTTCTTCGATCAGTAGAAACACGTACCAAACAAATATTGCGTCATTTCTAAGTGAACACATATTGTGCAAATCTTGGCTAAACCTTAATCAAGGCAGGATAACACACTTGCGTTTGCGGCGTCGCGTAATTGCGTTGTTGCTCGGTGTTCCATTTGAGCAATAAGCAATCCGTGGTAGTGATAGAAACCCGTATTTTTATATCGTTGTAAGCAGACGTAATAGATCCGGTAAAGCAGTGAGTCGTTCTCAACTTGTAAATATATGAAGACGCCTTAAAGGGCAACTCTGGTCGAAACCGAAACCGAAATAAATGACTCGTATCTTTCTAATGGCACGAAATACACCAACTCATGTTTACGAAGAAACCGGGGCGCCCCTACCGGACGCCACCGGCGCCGCACATGCGCGATGGGGGTGTGGGCAGGGAGCTCACCGTCACCCATAAACAAACCATTGAAATGCGACGTTGTCGGCGTCGGTGAGTCCCCCTGCCCTTTTACGTGTTCGAATTGTTGATTCTACGTCTTCCTGGCGATGTCTGACTACTTGAGCGGCGTCAGCGAAATTTCCAATTCTCGTTACACCGCAGAACTTCGCGTGACTAATGTGACATGCGGTGATTCATTCCGTGTGGACGCCGCGGTGTGGACGCTAGAGCCTGATTCCCATGATGACATTTCGCTCGCAATTTTCAGTCGCGACGCCGCTCGGGCTGCAAACACGTGAACCGTTGCTGAGATGGTTGACGTCGATACTAAAAATCGAAAACAGAATCGGACCAAGTGAATTAGGCATAAGAAGTCGGTGATGGCCACTGGTAACAATGATCAACATCCCCTTGTATCTACTGTTTACATCGAGCCTGCTTACCAACCTTCAAACTTTAGTCTTTTGAGGCCTGCACTTACTTCTTATTGCAAGTACCGGGCCAACATTTGGTCTACTGGCCGGCGTCGTCTAAGAGAGGAGACGACAAGCAGAAACGTTTGAAAGAGCAGACGACTGTTCCAACGAACAGGCGGCCGTTTCAACTTGAAGACCCACTGAACATAGTCCGCAGGTGGTCCGCACAGCTTGGCGATTTTCTGGCGTACATTTTGGAACAAAACAAAAACATCTGATGACCGTAAGTATCCGCGAATTCAACCCAAAGTCCTTCCCGCCCAAACAATCGTTGTCCGACGGCGTCTGTTTTCCCCTTTCCACGGCACATATCCAGATTCTCGACGAACCGAGCACGTGAAAACTGACCTTCAAACATTTTTCGACACTTTTGGTACGGCCCCAGTCGCAGCGTTTTGACGAGAAGGCAATTTTTTGCCTGATTGCTTTCAAAAGAACCCAAGAATACACGTCTCAAATAGGGACATCCATCCACAGCCCCAGACCGGAAGCGCGCCCGGCGTGCCGCTACCGCGGCTTGACGTCACAGAGTTCAGTTCGTGTATATTATCGCGGCCAAAATATACCCTCAATGTTCAGCTCCATGCTACGCTAAAACCGATTTCAGAGACGCGACATTATACTCTTCAGCCGGCGGCAAGCGGGCTAGCTTTTAGTCAAAAAACACTGGGCGACACGTACCGCAGCACCCCCTTGACGTCACGTCGGGGTGGTGCTGAGGCTGATTTCGCACGTTGTACAGCGTATCGCAGAACCATGGTGACGACAGGTAACCTCCATACAGCTGATCATCATTGTTGTCATCTTTCTCTAGGATATAGTTCGGTTCAGCGTAGACGTACGAAACCGAATTTTCAGCCGTGATATTTTTAAAACCACATGCAATATCGAAAAACAATTATACTTTGCAATTCAAAGACACTGACTCAGCTGAAAACTGTTATAATCCTAAATTAGGAATAATTGCCCGGAGCTTCTCTTTAAGCATGCTTTGAAACGCGCGCATAAATCAGGATGGGGCCTCATAAAACAATCTGCTGAAACTATTCATCATATGTACACTGAATGTACACGCATAACGTTTTGGAATGCGCAAAGGACGTCTCGTTCGCGTTCGTGCTTTGAGAGCACTGAAGGCTCATGACTCATGTCATGGCATATACACACTTCATATGTACTTTGGAACTACATATAAAGCTGGGTTTAGCAACTCTATATCCTGATATCTATGTACGTAGCAGGCATGTACCTGCTACAGAAATAATGTAGCTAAATACATTTCCTGCCAACTCAAACAAAACGTAACTGAACACGTCACTTCTTCCTGCGATTTAAAAGGACAGCGTTATATCATCTTGAAAGTAACGCACTATATTATCGTTATTTCAATATGTCGTTTTCATTAAGCAATAGATGCTTCTACTACGTGTCGTCATTCATAATTTTTGTCTCATACCACGCTCTTTCAGAGATTGCTTTGGCTATACTTACATATTATAGTCGGTGGGAAGTTAAGAGGGGAGTGGGACCTTATCCAACATCTTTCCACTATAGCAGAGAAGGTGGCCTCCACTGCAGCCAGAGTTATCTCTGCTATAGTGGAGGTCGCCGTCTCTCCAGCGTTCACTTTGCTGCAGTCAACAGTGGTTCAAGGAGTTTGCATTGAACTCAGCCTGTCACCAAATGTACGTTGTTATTCGTTAACAAAAAGGTTAGGTACAAACAACGCATTACTAAAGGGTCTTGTATATAGCTAGGCTACCGTACACTGGCCTTAGGACAACCGTTTCTTTCGTCTATAACTCGGTATCATAACTCCAGTAGTTTTTTGTTTTCTTAAGGGGGTGGGAGGATTAGTGTACACGTCATCCGTGATTAGCACCATCAGTGCTTACATGGGTGCCAACCGATAGTTTAACGTTCTCCTGACGCTAAAACATAAATAAGATACATAAAACGAGAAAAACAAAAGAGCTATTTTCTACTACGTTTTTTTTCTCACTCAACTTTTTTTTTTAACTACGTGATGTTTGCCTCAATAGATGAATTAAAATAACCGCCCCATTATGCTTTTATTTACAGGAATCAGATCCGCCGTAAGTCCCATGTTGCCGTTTTTATCTGAGGGCCGACGACTACAATTTATGAATGACCTGGAGGAAGTTCTAAGCACGTTTTGGACCGAAAAAGATCCCACTGATCAACAGTATCATATGGACACGTTTGTTGTTCATGCCAAGAAGATTGTCCACAAGAAAAACGATTGATCAACATCATGACTTCAACACCTGGCCCAAAATCTCCGAAGTCGATTCTCAATCTTTTTTCGTCCTTCACTCTCAATCACTCTCGATGACTGCTGCTAGATTGTCGTTAAATCAAGGTGTCTGAAGAAATGCAAAATAATTACCACAAAGAGCGTCGAAATGTCTATTGTAGAAGAAAAAGGCGTATTAAAATGAATATTC